TTTTTAGATCTCTTTATTAGAACCGCTAACTAGAAGCCAATATTCAAAGGTCTTCTGCATTTTGCCATGTGAACCCAAAAAAGAACTGCCGTCAAGGCTGATAAGAGTAGTCTCAGTTTTTGCAATTCCTTACTTTAATTACCAAACAGCCCTACAGAAAAAAAAAAGTGCATAAAAAAAACAAAATAAAATTTATCTGTAAGTATTTGCAAGAGAGTCTAAAATAGTTTTCTGACTAGCAGAAAGTCTCTTCCATATTTAAGCCAGGCTGAAATGCCCAATAAATCTAAAACATTCTAGAACATTAAATTTTAAATAAAACTACCTCTTACTCAGCTGCTCTTCTTTCTCTCTTTTTCCCTGCATGGACAAAAACAGGCAGACGTTTCTCTGTGTCTGTTGCATAGTGTTGCCATCTTAAATTCTGCAGGGAAAAAAAAAAAAAAAAAAGATGAAACAAAATAGGGTCAAGAGCAAATTAAATTTTTTCTCAGAGCTCTCTTCCCGCAGTTATCTTATCTTCTCTTACAGGTCCCAGAGAACAGATTTACCAAGAACCTCTATTACATTTTCAAAATTGGGAATTTAGACATATGGTTCCTTCTTACTGGAGACCTGCCTAACATAGGGGACACTTTTGCAGTGGCATTTTTGCCTGTTGCTATTCAAAACTATTGGATGTTCTTGGGAGTTCTTCAAATAAGTGAAAAATAACTCCAAATCTGAAAACTCTGAAGCACAAACTTCAGACTATTAAGACGCAATAATTTCAAATCAGCATAATCTTCCTTCTATTTTCACAGAGACCCTGTATTAAGCTTCGGCTGAGCTTGTAAACTTCGCTGTGCCCTAGTTTCCTCATCTGCAGGACATAAATGTTTGTGTATCTTAGTGAACTTCCTGAAAGACAATGATAATGCTTTTTATAAACTCACTAGACTCAAAATAACTGGGGAAAACACTCTCATAACACAAGCACAGATATCTCTGTTTAGGAAATACTCGGTCTTGCTCCTTCCAAAACCACGATATGCTATTACATTACACTAACAACCACGATATCCTATCACATTACACTAACTGCCAGAATGGCTAGCAGCATTACTTTACTAAACAAAAGTGAGTTTCCTGCAAATATTTTTCAAAGTATGATAGCTATTTTTATGTGCTTTAAAACGTACTGTGATGCACTGGAAAGCCTGCTGTCATATATGGTGACACATATCTACAGTTGCTATAAAATGAAAATTAGCAAGGTGTAACACTATGCTTACGAGAAACTGATTTTAGTCATGCTCTGAATTGCTCACATTTTAATCGCGCACGCACCCTATCATTAAAAACTCCTGCACTCCCCTTTGCCCACCACTAAGTCACACAGATGAAGCAGTTGGTCACTGGCTCCTCTGCGCACGCTGCGCTGAGTCGTGGCCAGCAGAAAGGCATTTTTCCAGAATAATGATGCTCCTAGGAAAAGCTGTGCTTTAATTAGGTGTGCATGGACTGACTTCACCCTCTTTACGCCAGGATCATCCTGCTCCTCGGATCTGCCCGAACTCCAGCCAGGATACGAGGCTTCCCAGATTCCTGGTGCCATGCATAGGAACTGGCAAGGAGCGCAGCCCCAGACAGGCAGGAGAGCAGGGAAATCGGCCTCTGTAAGACACTTTTTATTTGCAACATTTGATGTTTCCATATAAATGGAAAATTTTAAATGCAAAAAGCAAACCATAAGCTTTCTCCTGAATTCCAGTTTTTGTTCCGCAGACATCTTACATAATGGCCAGTGACATCTTTATCTACAGCTGCTGTGTATGTCTGGACATCGGGGTGAACCTTCCCCTTGCTGAAAATCCACAGGCTACGGGGGACCTTCACCAAAAACTAGCTGATTGACCTATTCTTAAATTAAAATATTATTAGCAACAATATGAAAAGTGAATTAGTGAAAACTTTTATTCCATATTGTTTAGGAAAAAATAAACTTCCTTTTGGTTTGAAAACAAGAGACTACTAAAAGGCTTGGGAGGGAGGTTAGAGAAAGTATTTCCTTGTTTTAAAATTTTGGCAAGGGAGGCAAGCAAGTCTAACTAAAAAAAGTCCGACTTTATTATATCACATGCAAGTTCAGCTGGTACCGCAGGAAGTCCTATTACATATAAACGACGAAGCACAAAGAGATATATGCACCTAGGGGATTTTAAAACTTTCTTTGTATATAGCTTGGAATTAAAAAAAAAAAAAAGTTTTGTATAGCTAGCCTTTATTGCTAGCCTTTAAAAAACATGGTACTTGACCACGGAACAATGAGCAACAAAAACTGATGCCCTGATGCTACTAGTACCTGCCTGTGGTTCCTTCCTTCTTTTCATCTCTAACCTCTCAAAGAGTATAGATTTTTGGAAGAAGGTGATTTCTATGTTTTGCCTGCAAAGTAGCAAGCATTTCTGGCACACTCAGGATGATCAATCTTTTAACATAAGGGAGGAAAACAAAAGCTATGTATCACAAAGGATTCTTTTCTAGAACTTCTGCACTCATTTTGTCTTTGTGTCTCATCTGTAACTCTTCGGGTTCACTTCATTATTGTTTGGGCTGGTTTAATAAAAATTAGATCCCTCCCTTTTTAATTCACTGTAGTTATTATTATTTTTTTTAATGTGTGAGGATCTGAGAGTAACTTCAATAATAAAACACAACGATGTTTTGCATCAAAAAAGATGCAAAATTTATCTTCCTCCATTACTTTTGAAAGAATAGATTACATAGATTTTGTGTCCCATTTGATTTCAATTCAAGAGAAAATATTCATTTAAATACAGAATATCACACGTTCCTGCATGCCTCAACAGCTATAGAAAACTACATTCGCATGGATACACATATTTAGTCTCTGTGTGTGTATGAGGGGGTATAACTCCCCATAACTTCTCCCTTTGCACTCTTGGTCTCAGTGAAAATCAACCTAAAATAAAAGGAGTTGTAATCACACAGAATGTCATTGTGCTGAGACTTTATGAAAGTCTTTTCAAATCCTCAGAATGCAGATTCTCACAGTCATTTTCTTTCTTTTTTTTTTTTCTGGGTTATTTGGCTCTGCAAGGATTTGTAAGCTTTTCTGTATGGCTACAATTTCCAGGTACAAAACTGAATCACAAGAAAACGCTCGTCTTTATCCCTAACATAATTTAGAACAAGGTAAGTTTTAGAACTTCATATATATATATGTGCATATATATATATATATTTTCCCCCTTTCCTCTACAATTTTAAGCACTGTTTGCTGCTCACATGACACAGCTAAGACAGGAGCTTTGGAACACACCTCCTGACCTGCTGTGGTAACGCTATTCATTTATATTTCTATTACATAAATTTATATTTATATTTGTATTTTGTCCGTGTGAATTCTAATGAAAATACCTCTTTGATCTAAATCTGGTAACAAAGGTAGAAAATTAACAGCAGATTTCTCTATAAAACTGCCAAAATAACTTAAGACTGGACAGACTAGAGTATTAGGATTGTTGAGTAAAGTACTTAGGAAGTTAGGAAATAAACATAAGCACACATCCAAGTTGGATGTGTTTGGATGTGTGATGTTGAGTGGAAGAGTTGGGAAGCAGGCAGCTGTATCCCCGAACTGGGGCCTACCTGCTGGCGTGACTTGCTAAGTTACAACGCCAAGCAGATTCCCACATCCATGTACGCATCCTGATCCGCACACTGCGTCTCCCCGGGAAGAGGAGATGCTATTTTGACCCCACGTGGCTGAAGCCCCAAGAGTGCTGGGATGCACAGTTGGTGTATGAAGGGGAACGAAGCTTGAACAGGGCTAGGAGGCCTCACATAAAGCCGTTCAGGAGCAGTGAGAATGAAAAATTATAGTATTAATTCGTCCTTGATTTTAAGTTTTGAGCACATGTGCTGTATTCTGCCACATGTAGAGAGAAAGGCCAGTGTTAAGTCAGACTACTCCATGTTTCTCTTTTGGAGAACGGAAAAGGCCGATCGTGGATCAGAAGATGTGCCGCGGGAACGGCTGGGGCCTGGCCACACCTTCCTGGGAGCGG